CTGCTGATGGACAATTTAGCTTTCATAGCAGCTTTACACAGATCACTTAAGTTCAGTAGATGAAAAGCAAATTTAAGCCCCTGGAGTCCTCACTAATTACACCACAATGAGTAGCTATGGAAATGTCAATTCAAAATGTGATTGTAATACAGCATTACTACTGAGACATCTTTTGTATGCAAATTGAGATATCTGCATTTATGGCTCCCAGAACAACTATAGCACTGCCCCTTTCTGGAAGGGCGTAGTAGTGTTTGGCAGTGGTGGTTGCATGCAAACAACAAAATCTGGATGCTATAGGCACAACTTGTCTTTGGTGCTTCGTTTCTTAATTGCCATGGTTCTATCTGTAAACTCATAGATTGGTGTGGTTTTTTTTGTTTTTGTTTTTTTTTAAGCTCAGGAAGACTGTGGGGAAAGGTATGCTCTCGGGTGCTTGTTACTGCTGACCTTGCTCTTCTCAGCACCCTTAAGCCATTCCAGCCAGTGGAAGGTGCTTATTGACTTAGGGTTTGATCCTGCACTCTTATCTGAGTAATTTAAAAAAAAAAAAAATGCTGTGCTGGAAAGATGTATTTTGGCTTGATCTGTCTGTCTGTCTATCTATATGTATTGACTTCATGAAGAAAGGAATCATCTGAAGTAAACAGAACTGACAAATTCAGTCTGAAGTAAACTGTTGCAAATGAAATGAAAACTGACTTTATTTCAGTAATATTAAACAAAACCGTTGAACATACTAAGTAGTAAGAGCTGGACTCAGAAAGGATATGCTGAAGTGATTGATTAAATTCTCTGTGTTTGCTTCTTCCTTTTTGCACATCCAGGATGAGCGAAGCAACCTTTTGACCAGAATTTATTTTGCTCAGAGGCAGGGAAGACTTTCTGATAGCACTCATGTATTGCAGTCTTGCATTCCTTGTTAATGCCCTTCTGTCTTTATCACTCTCCACCCAGTTCCTTCTCCACCTTTCAGATCTCTAGCAGCCTTCCCTTTTCTTTGTTTTGAAAAGCTTAATGAAAAGTGCATCTGTTGTAGGATCTCTGCATACAATTCTGTAGTAGGAAATTCTCACCCTTGGAAATGATGAAAAGCATGCTGTTTGCAGAGCACTCTGATGATTTATACAGCAGAGGAGATTGGCTGTGTCATTGCACGCTGCAGGATGACTCCAGGCATATGTTAGTGCCCTTAGGTAATAAAAAGTTTTACATACATTGAGCAGTCTTTCACAGGCGTTTCTGTCAAATTAGAACAGATCCTGAGTCCTAGAATAGGAAAGACTAATTTACGAATAAATCAAAACCTGCTTTGAACAAAGCAAAGGCACTGAGGCTTTAATGTTACCCTTGTAATTCAAGCTGTAAAACTTTATGCATTTGATTGAAACTGCTGGAAAATACATGCTTAATCTGGAGTACGTTGCCGCATAAATGTTACCAGTACCACCATCGGACCTCAGGATGTCACTTGGTACGTTGTTGCAGTGATCTCCTGGTAGCAGGATCCTCGGATACCTAGTCTGACTGATTCTTTTGTGCAGAGTCCGTTCTGATCTAGGTTCCTATCGACTGTAATCGAGTTACCTCTTTGTTGTTTACCTGAGAGAGAATTGTCACGTGCGTTGTTCCATAGTGAAAATGGCTGGTTTGTTTCCTGCTTCTGATTCAGCATTTTTTCTTCTTAAAAAAGAAAAGTTCCATTTTATACTTCTCTCCAGCCCTGTATGTAGAGTTTGGTGGAACTGACAGATGTAATTATTATTTTGTTGTACATTGTAGCTTAGGCATATGCAGCATTCAGCAATCGCATCTGTGCAGTAAGCCATCCATGTCAATGAGCGATCCCCTTCCCTTTTGCCAAACAGTGCTGAGTGCCCCTTGTTTGTGCTGGTCTGAGGCAGTCTTCTCCGACGTGATCTGGCTGTTGGTACTCTCTGTAGTACGTGGAGCAATCCTGGAGTTTCCACATGGTCTGCAGGCCTTGTTCGTGCCCTCCTCTGCAGCTCTGCAGTGTCCTCTAATCGCCGCTTGTTTTGTGTGCCATGTGTGACCGTGCTGGCAGGCACCATGAACGGAGGTTGCTCCCTGTTGCATGCTGGCAACGTGATCTCCATGGATACCTGTCTCCAAGATGTGTTGGTGTGAAGGTCTTGGGTCCCAGGTAATGATGAGGGGTGCTTAGTTGCCTTACCTGTGTAGCGTGGCAGGAAGGATGTGTGTCGTACCTGATTGCACAAGTTCTACTGGATTGGCACTGCACATCTCAATGTAGAGCAGTTCAGCTTGGTGATCCGTAACTGGCACTAGGGTATGGTCTTTGTAACAAATTTTGCGGATTCACAAATAGGTCTTTACCTATGTGGGCTTGACTGCTTTGCTGCAAATCATAGCTGAGAGCAAAATTGACTTGTAATGCTGGTGACTGGCGTGGTGGTGTCAACACTCAGTTTTACTCAAAGGTATAGGTGCAGCCTGTAAAGACAAGGTGATGCTCTGAGAAAATGGTGAGCTTGTAAGGCTAAATAGGTTCCCTGTGACCTGCTGCCTTGTGGCCTGGCAGGTTGTGTGGGAGGCTGGAACTGGATTTGATTTCCAGCTTAACTCCTAGTGTTCTGGGGGACCTTAGGGAATCACTTACTCCTTGGATTTCAGTTTCCCCTGTTCCATGACAAGCATAATGATACTGAGCTTGATTTGTACAGTGCTTTCAGGACTGCTAAAAGGCGTTCTTTAAGAGTGAGGTGTTGCTGCTTTGTGACGAAGGCCTACAAACAGATGACAGCTCCTAAGTCTGTGCAGTTAATAAATACAGCTATGGGTGGGTAATTTGAGGTTCTTAGTAGCATTGTGATAACGAAGTTGCTTATGTTTGAGGTAAGCAGTCAAGTTTTCTGCTGGCAAAAACCATTAGGCTTTTTTTGCCTTGCCTTGTTTGGTGGGTTATGACAACTTGCAGGTGACTCTAGAAAGCATCATGTAACTGTTGTCTGCTCTTCAAAGGACTTAAGGTGCTGGCGTTGATCTTTATCTCTCCTCGTCCCACCATGTCTCACAGTGGTTTGCAGCTTTTGGCTTTCTACCATGTATATCGGATTTGTTCCTGAGAAATGGTGTGTGACTGTGCAAAGAGATACCTAATTCAGGAGAGAAGTCTGTATCCCTCAAAGTTCAATGGGCTGGATTGGAGAAGTCTGTATCCCTCAAAGTTCAATGGGCTGGATTGGAGATCTGGGGGGGCTGTTTCTGTCTCATCAGCTATTTCGTCCTGGTGTTTAACATCTGTTGTTTGTTCAAGCAAAGAGTGTTTTGAAGTGGCAACACAGGCTGGTTCAAATGGGTCATGTTGCCATATAAAATAAAAGGAGGTGGAGCAGGGAAAAAAGAATATGGAAAATTGTCCCTAGATGAAAGCTTTCCCTTATCCCTGTTTTTCTTAAAAGTCCTCGTGACAGAGGTCTTGACAAGAGAACAGAAGAATGTGAACATCTTTGCAGTGGAGAGCGGAGAGGGTTAAGCACTGAGATCAAAGGGAAGGAGTAGGGCTGAAATCCTCCACTGTGGAGGATCAAGCTGCACCCTTTCATGGTTGGCTGATCAAAGGGAGTGCTATTTCGGGAGGTTGGTAGCGCAGTAAAAACCCTTGCCCGTGTCTCTTCTCCTTTCAGGGCAGAACCAGCAGGCTTGGGAGGGTAGGCTTTGCATGGCGTTTCCTTGTTGCTCACGTCTGTGGCTAACGACAGCAGCCTGTGAGGAGTTGATGTGCTAGCCTGCATTTTTCTTTCCAAAATCAGAACTGAAGGAAGCTCATGGGAGCTTACAAACAGTAAGCAGCGAGATTGCTTCTCGTTAGCTAATGATCAATGACTTGGCCATCTATGAGGGAGCGCTGTGTGCTCCTGCTGGGTCCACGGTGTTTGTTGGAGGGGAGCTGCTGCTGTGCACAGAAACTGCTCTTGTGCTGGCAGCCTCCTGGTCCTGCTGAGTGCTGGGCAAAATTTCCTGCACGCTATCTTTGGTGTTTCCTGTTGAAGTCACTGACCACATTGTCGGGGCTTCTGCAGGAAGGAGCGGTAGATTCAGACCGGTGGTGAGACAAGTTTGCGTAACTTCAGGGGAATTAGGCAGTTGAGTCAAGATGTGGGCTCCGGTTTTGAGGATGGGATCAGGGTAGCGTAGTACTTGGACACTTTGATTCAGGGATCCTAAATACTGTGTAGATTTCCTTCCCCCTCTGGGGTCTAATAATTGCTCAAACAAACCTGTGTTTGGCCGAGATCAATAGTGTTTGGCAGTAACTGATGTAATTGCAATTATTAGACTTCAGGCTTATGAAGAATGCAAAGACCTATACCTGGCAACATGTACATATTTTTAGAATCATGTTCTGGCAGTGCATCTGCAATGAGTGTATTCTTGATCACAAGGAGGTCGGGAGCAATTCGGTATTCCTGACACAATAACCAAAAATCAGTCTTCCCTGGGAAACAGAGTAAGTTAACAGTCGTTGGATGTCCTCTGAACTGTTTTCCATCCAGAAACAGTTATGATAATTTTTTTTCTTTCATTTTTGCAGCAATGCTGAGTGTCACTAACTCTGTGAAGCCGAAAAGTGATTGCTCGCCTCCTGTGCAATGGTGTAAGGTGGCTGCACATGAAGATGAGAAGACCAAGCTGGTTTTTAAAAGGTACTCGCAAGTAAGTGTCACTGTCATGGCGATATAGAGGTCAGTTGCGCTCTCTCCAGCCTGGGCAGTTACTGAAAGTATGCAAAAATCAAGGAGGAGATTGCCAGAGGAACTGGGTGGAGGTCTAGGCACACAGCTTTCCCTGGAGCACCTGAAACACTGAAGGAGCATAGGGTCTCTCATGGTAATACCTGTTTTCCCAAGCCAATGGAAGATCCCAGTACTTCACTAACAAGTATTTCCAATCTTTTTTGCGTCCAGATAAATAACAATGAGGCTTTAGTATAGTCTGATAATTGAAGAAATGGAAAGGCAGTGGATTTTTAGTGGATGTTTTGGGGAGGTGTACCCTCACAGTTAATTTGTTTATGAAGACTTCTGGAACTCTACATCACAAAATCTTCATTGCTCCATTGTTTGTAGTTTAACATCAAATTGAAGTTAATGAATGTGTTCTAGTGTATGCCCAGAACCATATTTTAAACCCAAAAAAGTGCACTACTGTGATGCCTCTCTGGCACATGAATGTTTAGGTCTTAGAGCTTAAAAAACACAAAGCCAAACTGTTATATCCACTGGTGTTTTGAGCACCTGAATGGGGCAGCCCCAGCTGAATCTAGAGATACTTGATAAACCTCTGTGGAGGAAAACCAGCCTCATTCATCTGTCTGTGAATCCCCTGGTTTCTGCCAGTCAGCTGATTTCCAAGGGGGTGCAGCCTAACATGCTAATGAAGGTTTTAGACCCCAGTGCAAAATTTAATTTAGTTAAATCAGATGTGAGAACAGTGCTTCTTTTCCAGTGGCCACCTTGTTTGCAGCACATACTGCAAATTGAGTGCCAGGATTGCATCTATTAGCCTATATGGTACACGCATTTTTTTTAAAAAAAATCTTGGAAACCTGTATTAACTGCATCTGCAAGAGTTTCAAGAAGCTCTGAACACTTAGTAGGTTGTATATTTTTTTAAGACACTTAAACAAGTGTCTAGTTCTTATGAAACCATAGGAAATGAAAATCAATAATAAAGCTCAAACTACATACTTGAGCAACAACCACAACTCGTAACAAAATAATGATGTAATTTTTACAGATCAGTTTAGACATGAAATGAGCCAAGTGAGTATCTGGAGATCAACAGTGAGATTCCTTAGAAATCAGTAGATCCAAAATATGGATAGTCTGTATTACTCAGTTCTGAAAGTTTGGGGTTGTTTTTCCCCTTCTGCATGTTTTGTGGATGTAAATAATTAAATTGGACTTCTCAAGATAATCCTGATCATCTAAATTCTGCATTCCAGCCTTCCAGTGAGTTGAAAGTTTTGCTTGTGAGTGATGGCCGTTGTCCCAAAATCTTCCACTTTGAAGTTCCATCCCTTTTTCTAACTTGCATGAAAATACATATTTCAAAATAAAGTTGCTCTTTAAAGTAGGAAAACAAAAGTCACTTTTGGTTTTTTTGTGAGGAGAGCTGTTTGGCCCATCAGAGGTGTGTTTAAAGTGTATGATGCAGGCATAGAACTGGATAAACTGGTGTCAGTATGCAACACTTTCTTTATCAAAGCATATATGTATGTTCGTGCTCTCCTGCAGATAGCTCTAAAGAGTTGTGAAAGATTTGCAGTGAACAAAGCAATAGTTTTGCTTGGTTTGAATCAAATGCAAGGATTCACCTGAAGTTCTTCAGCTGCCTTAAGTTTGTTTAAAAATACCCATTTAGCAATTGATGGATTGCTGGAAAAAAGATGATTTTTTTTTTTTCCCCCCTCCTACCCCCACATCATCCTGTTTATTTTTAGACTTCTTGCACTGTTTGTGGTTGGAGGGTGCTTCGTTTATATCCTCAAATTACATTTTGGCCCTGAAGAATGTGACAGAACAAAAATGCCATATGTGGACCTCGATCGTGTAAGGGTTGGTATTTTTTTTTTTACTTAAAAAAAAGGTTATTAGTTTACAATATAAGAGTTATAAGTGTCTGTAACAAAGACTTAGAATGCTAAAATTATCCTGTGAGGGGAAAAATGTATTTTGCCTTACTTCATGCCATAGAACTTCTGGTTTCTGTTCTTGTGGAGTGACAAGAAGCGCATAGAGAAACTGATTTTTAGGGGTAAAATGAGATAACTGACTGCGAAGAATAACATTTGAAATGGACACATCATCATACTGTTGTGTCAGTGCAGATGACACTGATGATCAGAAAATTGATGCAAATGAAATGTAAAATTAAAAAAAAAAAAAAAAAAAGCCCCAAACCCAACACATTAAACCAAAGGTTTCTTTTTACCTAAGCCAGTTCCCCAGTCTGCTTTGCCTTGTAGTTGCTCGGATGTTTTTAGAATTGCAGGGCAAGTGTGCAGGGGGGTGCAGCTCTCTTGGTTCATGTGTTTATTTAATGTAGGAGCTATTTACTTCAGCTACAGTTTTGTGTGTGGCTTTTAAGCTCATGTAACAGACACCAGTCAAGCTTTTTTTAAGTTCTTGCTGACATTTCTCTGTCTTTGCTACTTAACCTGTTTGCTGTTTATAATAGTACTTACCTTGGCTTAGAGTTGTTACGTTTCTGACACTGAATGTCTCGACACTAAAGCAAAACTTATAGCAGAAGCCCTGATTTAAGATAGTTTCATCTTAGCATCACTGCATGTGCATCCTTCCCAAACTCCCACCTTCTGAGTCTCTTTGCCTCCCCTTTTTTTCTCATCTGACTTATTTCTTTTCTCAGTAATATGTTCTGGCTTGTAAACAACCACCACCTTAAGCCAAGCAAACCTAAAGACTGCATGGACTGCGTTTATTGCTGTCTCATGATTCATTTTGTTTGTGTCAGATGCAGGATGAGAAAATAGCATTGCTCTTTGTCTAGTTAGGTAGTAGCTGATTGCAAACTGCTTGGGGCAGTTGTCAAGTGATTAGCATTAATTTTTACTAATAGGATGCACAACTGTCAGCCTTAATAATGAGGTTCTTCCAAAGATGCACTGACTTGTGCTGGTGAAGTACAGTATGAAGTTGTTCAGTTGTGCTTTGCCCAGGAAGAAGTGTGGTATTTATGCCCATACTTGCAGAGATCTTTGTAATGGTGGCAGACGGAGTTCTGTAGAACAATCTTTTTTAAAAAAAAAAAGTATAAAATAAAAGCAGCACAACTTGTGCACCCAGATACACACTTCCCTTTTCTTAATAGTACAGAAGGGGAACTGAGTTAGCACTAGATTTGAATCTTGATTCCGACCCCTGTGTTTGCTCATGTTTTGTTTTTTATTACTGCGGAGGAAGGATCAGCAGAGTTGTATCAGGGAAGACAACATGCAAAAAGATTTTCTTTTATCTGATAAAAATAAGACCTTTGATATTTCTTGCTTAGATCAGATACTGGCTTGCCACTACAGATTTCTAAGAAAAGTACATGAATAGTTTTTTGGTTTTTTCTTAATGCAACAGATCAATGTGTGATTTTATCTGACAGCTTAGTCTTTTTATGCAATATGGAACTGCAGTCTTTTTTGGTGACTGGTCTTTGAAAGAAGACCTGAAACACCTCCACTTGCATTCCTTTCAGAGTTGTGTTGTAGTCATTAGCAATACTTCTTGAACAAATGGTTATTCATTTTGATTAGTAAGCAAGTTCAGCCTGCTATTGCACGGAACTTTTACCCAGCAGATGTGTGTCTGATAAAATCCTACCACAAGCAGAGCTCCGGTCATACAGTTGAGCAGTGAAATGAATTAGATGGGCAGAAGTACGTCTAGATGTTTAACCTGTTTTTGTGAGCAACAGTACAAATGTTCTCAGAGAGCTCATTTTCACTTATCTCTCTTCGTAGCCTGATTTAGTCTTTAGAAAAGCTCCTGTCCAGATTTAAGTGACTGAATGGAGAGACATTCCTTTGCAGGTTTTCATCCTGCGCTGGTTAGTATCTGCATTTGAGTGAATGCTTTAAAATGCCTTATATTTCCATGTTTAAGCTTTCTTTATAAACCCATGTGTTTGCTGAACTGCTGGTGGTCAGCTGGTGGGTTGTATTAAGAGGGCTTTGTACGTTCCTGAAGCTGGCTTTCCTGGCTGAAATCGTGTATGTTTTGTTTTAGAGAGCACAACAGTATGCCAGCGCTGCACTGCAGGAACAGTGCCGACCTTCTTATGTGAAGAAAGAAATGGGGAAGTTATTTGCAGAGAAATACATCATGGACATACCTCCCTTTGTAAGGAAAAATATAAATGAAGATGAAGCTTTATTTAAATATGAACCTCCTTTTGGATTTCACAAGTTCTTTGATAAGCTTAAAAATCTCCTTGAACTTTTACCTGAGCATGATTTACCAGAAGATTTGAAGTCAAAACACTGTAAGCGTTGTGTTGTTGTTGGTAGTGGTGGAATTCTTCATGGGTCAGAGCTGGGTCACTTGATGAATCAGTTTGATATTGTTATAAGGTATGTGTTTTCCATTTAAGGATTCCAAATACTTCAACTTTATTTTATTAGCCAACTTTTTTTTTTAAGGGGAAAATATCTCCAATGTTTATACAAATCATAAGACTATTTCTGAAAGTGCTTTTGAGAAATTTACTTGTGACTTGATGGAATTTGAAGTCTTCGCAAAAGAAGTTGTCATGTTCACAAGATGGGAATTCAGTGTAATTATTTGTGGACTTCAGACTCAAAAAAAACACGGGCAGAAAGGAGATAGAAACCAGTGAAACCATAGACAAGTAGACAATCCTGTTTTTATCCTTTCATATGTTTAAGCTTTCAGAGGTAGGCTTTAGGACTCCCCTCTGCCTTTTTCCCCTTAGTTGGGATGCTTATCTGAGGATTTTTTCTTATAACAGCTATTTCAAACACAATAAAAATTAATTGGTGTTTCAGTATACAGTTTGCTTACATACTGTGTAGCATGCTTATCGTTCCTTATCTTGAAAAGGTCAGTGCATGCTTTCTGTGATTACCCATGTTTTCTAACATCTGAATGAAATGAATACATGCTCTGTATTTGTGCCTTCTGAACAGTACTATTTGAACTCTCCTTCTTTTTATTTTGAAACATATGAAGTTACAAATTTAATACAAGCATTTTCCCAAGCTGCTTTGTGAACTAAGACTTGCTCCTCTTAAAAAGGGAAGACTTGATACAGTGAGTCAGTGTATCTCATACGAAGGTCAACAAACCTGTTCGCACGTGGCGGGGCAGAGAGCTGACTTTATCTGTTCTCTGAAATTAGGGCTGGCAGCATGACGGTGACTTTTCTGTTGATATAGAAAAGTCTGTGGGACTTATGCAGTTCTGCAGGACTGATGGAGCTGGATGATACTGTTCTTGTCAGCAGTGTGCTAGCATCTGAATTTTTTTGTGAGCTGGAATGATGTAAACCCACAGGATGCATGACGCTGAAAGGATAATTTGAATGCCTTTCTGTGTGTAATAATCGTGTGTGTGTGTATATATATATGTGTGTATATATATATAAAAAAAAGATAGTGCAGGCAACTTCCTGTGTGTTTTCTTTCCCTTCCTCTTATAAGCCTCTCTGAGTTGGCACAAGGCAATGAATATGAAATTCTGCAATGCTGTTTTAAGTTACTTTTCTATTCAAACTTTTCTTTTTGAAGTTTTGCACTTGTGCCAGTTAATCCAGAAATAGAATTGGCTTCCTCTCAATGATAAGGGATGGATGAGTATGTGAGGTGAGGAACACGGAGATACTGAGAAAGCGCTGTACTCTGCTCTGTTAAAAGTCTGTGGGCCAAATACAAGTTCTTTACTTAGTAGTGTCTGATGCTTAAATGAGATTGTAACCCATGCTTCTTAAATACAATTTCTCTGTTATGTTTGTTTTTGTTGTTGTTAGGTTAAATGATGCACCAGTTCAAGGATACACAGATCACGTTGGTAACAAAACTACTATACGGATGACTTACCCGGAAGGAGCCCCCCTTTCTGAACACGAGTACCCTCCTGCTAGCTTGTTTGTAGCTGTTTTGTTTAAAAGTGTCGATTTCAATTGGCTTCAAGCAGTGGTAAAAAACGAAACCTTGGTATGTAATATAGCATTGTTATGTATTTGCGACTTTTGATTTTTTCCTTTTCTAATGCTTAAGAATCTGGCTGATCTGTAACTTCATGTCTTATTACACTGAGGTTCTTCTATTTAACTTTGTGGATTTTATAGCTATGTCTCCTAGTTACAGTTGGTACCAGCATTCATGTTGAAGCCCCATGCTGACAGTAACACTTTTTTTCTGCAGATATTGGTGGTTTGTACCAAGCTGCATGACATATCGAGTGTTTACTAAAGTGGAATTCATTTCACATTAGGGTTAAATGACTTATTCAAGTCTGCAGAGCCTGAAATAGAAATGAGATTTCCAGATGCCAGTCTGTGTTTTTTGACTGCTAAAATCTGTGCTGCTACAGTAGGCACACCTGTAGTTAATGTGTAACTGAAGCATTGCAGTTGTTAGTTCACATTTGTATGTGGTTTCAAAATTAAGAGGCCATTTCTTTCTCTCTGAGTGTTTAAAGAACTGCAGAGGTTCCTAAGGAACTGATAGAAGGGTTCCATATTTCCAAGCTCTCTTTAAATTGGTGAGGTTTACCTCTTTCAATTTGCAGGCAGATGATTTCTGCAAGTTGAAAACCAGTAGCTAGGTTTCTCTGACCACAGGTTGAAAACAAGTGCTCTAGATTAGTGAGATAGGTTTAGAAGAAAGCCTGACAAGTTTTTTAACAATTTGATGCATACTGCTTTAGGTACTGGAAGTTCCCTTCTTAATTCTGTGATTTTTACAACATGAGAACATGGAAGGTCTGTTTAATATTGACCATGACTGTCTACTATGGCTTTAATCCAGAGAGTGCGTGCAGGGATATTGCCTTGTTTTGAATAATCTGAGTATGTTTTGTCGAGGGGAGACTTTCCTGAATGCATGACTTCTGCTCCCTGCCTTTTTTCTACCAGGGACAAGACAATGTTGGTCTATGACCGTCCCTGCAGCAGTGTGGTAATTTTGATGACCAGCAGCTTTCCAACTTGAGTTGAATCCCCAACTTACTTGTTTTACAAGCTATTTCATGTATTAAGGTTTGGTTTCAAGTGACTAGTACAAGGATGGTTTTGTATATTAAATTTTTTGTGAGGGGATTGCACTTGGGTGTCTGTGATGTCCTTCATTAGTGAGTTACAAGGTTGAAGTGTGTGCTGTATGAAAAGAGTACATTTTCTTGTCTTGCATGGCTTAGGAGCAGATATGCTTTTTCCCACCTTCTTCCGTGCTCTGGTGTTTTTGCTGGTGCAGAGAGCCAGTTTTGGGAACTGACCTGGGAATGGGCATACTGGAGAGAGCCCAAATTCTTAAGGGACTGGAGCATCTCTCCTGTGAAGAAAGGCTGAGAGAGATGGGACTGTTCAGCCTAGAGAAGAGAAGGCTCATGGGGGAATCTTACTAATGTACATAAATACCTGAGGGGAGGGTGCAAAGAGGACGGAGCCAGGCTCTTTTCAGTGGTGCCCCGTGACCTGACTAGAGACAGTGGGCAAAACTGAAACACAGGAGGGTCCCTCTGAACACCAGCAAACACTTTTTGACTGTGAGGGTGATGGAGCACTGGCACGGGTTCCCCATGGAGGTTGTGGAGTCTCCATCCTTGGAGATACTCAGAAGCCATCTGGATATGGTCCTGGGCAACTGGCCCCAGGTGTCCCTGGTTCAGCAGTTGTTGGACCACTTGACCTCCAGAGGTCCCCTCCAACCCCAGCTGCTCTGTGGTTCTGTGAACTGAGAACATACTTCTCCTTTCAAATACTAGGCTCTCAGCTGGATCAGCTGTGCAGGCACTGGTAATTTAGTGAACTTGTTCAGAGCACAGGTGGGAAGATGGGACCATGGGAACCTAGGTTTGATCAGCTGAAGCTGTGGCAGAGTTGTGTGTTAGGGTAGCAATAAGCCTGTTCAAAAAATACAGGTCTGTGTTGCAGCTGTAGAAGTTTTATCATTTGCGTAATGTTACGCATTAAGTGGACAGATTTGTAAAATGAGCCTGATTTAGTATTGTTTTTTTCCATTAGCATGCATCTAATTGACTGCAAGTGGCACAAGATCAGAATCTAGCTTGCTGAGTCTTGTGTAAATCCTCTTCTGAAGTGTTACATTTATCACTAGGTAGATGCTGTCAAACAACAGCTGTTCACTTCAAAGCCCGAGAAAAATTGTTTTAAATCCAGTGCTTTGTTCGGAATGCCTGGTTAATGTTCGTGGAAAACTGTGGTTGCCTTTCCCATTTCTTTAAATACTGCTGACTGCTCGGTTGTGCTGGGGAAGGTCCAAAGAACTGTGTGGAATCTGGTGGATTTGTTGACTGGTTAAATGCGAAATGCAGTCAAATATTCAGAATAAACAACTTTTCCCCCTGCTATCCTCTCTCTGCAACTCCAAATACGTAGAAGATTTTTCTGCTTTTGGATCAGTCGGTTGACCTGTACGCTGGTATTCCTGAGCCCACTTTAGCTAAAACTGTTTCCTGAATGTCTTGGAATCACTGATGAGTTCTACTTCTTGTGTACTGTCTGCCATACACTTTGCAGTCTCAGAGTTTGCCTTTGCTGAACTATTTTTTTCTTTCTGTTAGCCTCTGTGGGTGCGACTCTTCTTTTGGAAGGAGGTCGCGGAGAAAATTCCTTTTACATCAAAGCAGTTTCGGATTCTGAATCCAGTCATCATCAAAGAGACAGCTTTGGACATTTTACAGTTCCCTGAGCCTCGATCAAAATTCTGGGGTTGGGATCAGGTAAGACATTTCCTTTTAGGAAAAGGAGACTATAAAAAAAAAACCCAAAAACTAAAACAACAACAACAACAAAAAAAACCACAAAGTAAAATAAGAAACTGAAAAAAGTTCTGGGCTCTTCCTTTAATATAGTTTCTTTGTGCAATTTCAGAGCTGGTCTCAAGTAACAGGGAAATTAATGCGCTCTCAAAAGACTCTTGTATCTTCTTGTGTGAAATTAAAGTAGGATTTCAGTTCACCTTTTGAGATGAGATGATATGCCTGTGTACGCTGACATGAAATGGCCTGTTTTACAAAGCATTCAGATGCAGTGAAACATGAATTCATTCCAGCACGGTGTGTTCACTCACAGATCATTGTGACTGGTGTTAAATATTCAAAACATGCATCTGATATGTTAAGTGTGTTAAGAGCAGCCCTGTTAAGTCAGACCAGCAGTCAGCTATAGACAGATATGTCTCTAGCTGCAGGGAGAGCATGGAAACCAGGCCGGTGTAAAGCAACCTTGCAGCTGTTGGAACCGCTATGTATGCCAGTGCACTCAATAGCAACTGATGGGTATATCCTCCCTCTACGTCCTTCGCTCCGGCAATAGTGTGGAGCGAGGAGCTGCCCAGTTTAATTATACACTGCATTTTTGTTATTATAATGATTTGTTTGAGAAATTGGATGTCACTAGTTCTCTTGAACTATGAAAGATAATGAATAACCATCATCTTACTACCTTTTCTGTGAAAGCATTCAATGGTAGCATTATTGCACATATGTTTGAAGGACCTTCTCACATTTATTTATCAGAATAAAATAATATACCAAGCTACATATCTTTTAGTTGCATTGTAGTATACTTGCCTTCTTCATGGATTACTCATTAAAAAGTCATACTATGACAAATACTGTTAGAGAGCCCGTTGCTGAAGACTGAAGTAAGCATACATCAAGAAATGTTAAGTTTAACTGCATGTCAGGGCTTGTTTGAGTGTCTGGAGTTTAACTACTTAGTATAACGGGGTGTCTTGCCTTCACAGAAGAAAATTTAGAGTTGACAGCCAAAGGTCTTGTTGCAGGCAAATACTCAAGCGTTAGCATTTGGCCCTGAAGTTTTTAGTTTTACTTGATCATTTATTTTTAGTTTTAGCTGTAATGGATTTTAGTTTTAATTGATTGTTTAATTGGTTTCAGTTTGAAGTGAGGAGAGGGAATAGACAAAGCTATTAAATTCTGTAAAGTGTTTATAAAACTGGCATAAGAGAATATATTTGGATTCAGCAGGCTTCTTTTTCCTCTCTTTAGAATGTACCTACAATTGGGGTCACAGCAGTTGTTCTGGCCACACATTTATGTGATGAAGTGAGCTTAGCAGGATTTGGATATGACCTCGATCAGCCCAGCACACCTTTGCACTATTACAACAACCTCTGCATGGCTGCCATGAACAGACAAACTATGCATAATGTGACAAGCGAAACAAAATTCTTGCAAAAACTGATCAAAGAAAAAGTTGTCAAAGACCTCACTGGTGGGATACATTGTGAATTCTGCAGCAAAGACAGCTAGTGATTGAAGTGCGGCATGGTTTGGATTTGTTAAATTTCCTGAGGTTCAACTGGAACAACCTTTTCACCGTCTTAAATAGTTCTTTAAAGTGTGCATAGAATAGACGTGGAATCTCTGCTGCCTTTTTTTAATGTAAAGTTCAATTTGTTGGACTTGTAAATTTATTTTGATGTCAGACTTTACTTTGCACATTTTTGTGGATAACTATGTAAATACAACTTGGAGTTGAAAGAAATCCATTTAAAATATTTAATGTTTTAACTTGTCTGAAGAAAAGCAGGTTTTGTTTTCAGATGTATATGGTCGTGCAACGCTAGCCTGAGTTGTCTAACTGCATACAAGAGTTATTTTCCACTGAGCTGCTGTCTTTGTCGATCTAGTTCTTGCTGTATGACTCCTTTTCATGCATGCCATGAAAAGAAAGGCGTATGCTTCTCGGGTCTCATTTCTTGTAACTTGAGCATTGTGTTTCCCCCTCAAATATTTATATTCTTTTGGTTTTGTGCTAATATTTTTTTGGGGGTGGGAGACGAATGAGTGCAGGTGAAGGAAAAGGAACTGTTGTGGCCACAGCCAAATAGTAAGTACTTTGGTGTTCATGGTTGATATTAAAATCACTGATGCATTAATGTGTTGGGTTAGGATCCTGCTTTATCATGAGGCGTGTTTGGGCCCAGGGCACACCATAAGAGGATTTAGTCAGTAGGAGACTTTCACATGAATTGGATATTTTGTCATTTCCATTCTTTAAGACCCAGATAAACATTTCTAACTAGTTGATTTGCAGCAGAGTTCAGTTACCCCAATTAAAGAAGTGGCATGAAAACCCCCCCTTTGTTTTGAGTGACTTGAGAATTGCTGGTTCTATAAAACACTGGTTTATATAAATCTTCTGTTTAGCAATAATAGAATTTATGACTAGGCTAAAATTTTGATTGGTTTGCTTTATGATCCTTTAGTAATTAATTACAGATGTCGTAACCTTAATAGTTTACAATGAAGATAACCCTTATGAACTCTAGCGTTGACTAATTGGAGAGGTAGAGTTGTTGATTTTCCTGGATCAGTTTTTAATTTAGCAATTGGGTGAGCGTGTACAAGTTAAGAAGAAAATCACTTTGGGAAAGTAGTATGTTCTAGTAGCAAGCTAGATAACTGCTGAAAGCAGCATACTTAAAAAAAAATTAAAAAGAAGCTACAGATATATGTTCTTGTGACTGGAAGTCATTGCATTGCAACGAAAATTGGACTGTGCAGATCTGCAAGCAGGTTTGGTGTTCATTTTCATTTTGTTACTAGTAGAGTAGTAGGTACGACTGTGTTTGTACTGAGTGGTGTCGGTACTCAGTCTACAGTATGTGAAAAATGCTTTCTTTGGGAATGAAAGCTTGTTAGCAAACTGATCAAAGGTTGGCCTAGAAACATTGTGCACGGTCGTGGACTCTCTACATGGTGAACATTCCCACTTTGTAGTTGTAGATTTAAATTTTCGAAATACTAATGTGGGAGATTAGGGTGGTAGTTCTCTTTTTCTGTTGTTTTTGTTTGTTTTTATTTTTTCCATGGGGAGAAGTTCTAATGAATGATAATGTTAGTACACAGGAGCAGCAGACTGATTCTGGCCGTTATACTAAAAGGCAATAAAATGACATCAGGTCATAAAGCATAACTCTGAAGAAAGTTGTGGACCTCATCTTTCGTAAGTCCCAAGTACCTACATGTCCTTGAAAGCCCATTGTGGATGGTGAACAAATTTGAAAATCAGATTCTTGTCTCTGGTACTGTTTGTGTTTATAGCAATAATATTAATCTAACTTCTCCTCTGTGAAACACATTAATTTTTGTACTAGCAATAAATTTGTAGTTGTGTTTTTCTTGTAATAATTGTTAATTTAAAAATATTTCATATGTGAAAGTTTTATACAGATAGTCTTTTAGTTAATATATTAAAATGTGCTAATTATTTTCTCCTGGTATTTAAACTGGAAGCAAAGTACTGTAATTTAATTTGGTATTAGTGAAATTTTGGAGAGGTTAGAATGTGTGTGTTGGGAGGATGTCCTGAATACACTGAAAGTACATGTTTCAGAGCACTTGGTCCCTCACCAGTTTGCTTTACTCAGTAACTTAAAAAGAATCAGTGGATTAACGTAAATGCCAGTAGCTTTTTGGAGATGCTGTATTTACTGTCACATTCTCAAATTATGTTGATGTAGGATTAGATTGTTTTCCCACCAGTTTTGTGGCATGTGATAAAACATTGTTCGCCGTGGTAGTGAATACTGCACTTAATATGCCTGCGCAAACTCAAAATGGCATCCGTGAAACGGCAGCAAAGTTCAGGTTGCAAAAAGCAATAAACTGATGAAACCACTTTCTACTTACGCATTTGTCTCACAGTTTGCAATTTGTTCTGCCTCCTTTGTTATGGATTTTACATGACTTGCTGTCCCATTTAAGGTCTTGATGCAGTCCCAGGCACTCGAAGAGGGGAGTCGTGGCCAATGATAACTTTCTCCATTTATGCCTTTTTAATACCTGTCAGCGGAGTTAGATCTCTGGTGCCCAGAAGAGAGAATCCATCTCAACACTCTTAATGTGGATGAGAATATTTCAGATGGGGTTATAGCACTGGCCTTAAATTCATGGGTGTGTTTTCTTCAGTGGTGGTGACAGGCTGCAGCTTCTGGTCTGTGTGCTTCAGTCTTGCTGGAGGTGAGGTGAGAACAAAAGCTGTGCGTGTCTCTGTTGCTGTGTCCCAGATCTTATGCTTTGCAAAGAATCTGCATCATGCCTTGAAGATATGCCTTGATGGTATTTGTTTAAAACAAAGAATCTGGGAGCTGTGATAAAGCCATTGTGTTCCATATCAGAGTTTCTCTTTGTAGCTCTCCTCTCTGTGTAGGAGCTATCACAGTTATATATGTCTGAAGTGTTCTGATGCTGCATTTTTTCATGGTTCCTCTGCAGGAAACATCACTTCAGCTTCGTCCTCCCTTGAATTTAGGGTGGTTGTTAAGTCCTTGCATTATCTGTTAGTATTTCAGGTGAGATAAGTAGAAATTCTCTGCTAGGACTAAACAATTCTGAAACTGTTTTGAATATTTGGATAACTTGTTAAGCTTTTGGTTTTTATTCTTCCAGTATATTCAGGTTTGTATGGCCACTTAAGAGATGGTAAAAGAGATGAACAGCATATTTACTTCAGCTAGATCCAATTTGTTTAAACAAATGGCAACTTTGAATTGCCAAGTGTGACTTTCTGGTGCTGTTTTTCAAGTGTTTATTGGAGTCCTGCACCCAGCTGGAGACAAACTGATGTTGCCTTGGAAAAGTACTGTGGGTAAGGTTACGATTTGTTTCTTACGATGCCACGAACATGTCCCAAAGTTGCAGGAGGAGACATCTAGAGCTGCTTGGGTGCAGAGTGGGGAGGTGCCAACAGGTGGTTGCAGAGCGTGGTCAGTGAGTGGAAAAAAATTCAGCAGGCAGGGTAGTCAACGTGTTGAGATGCTGGCAGTGAACTGAAGAGCCGTTTGGCCTCTTCAGCAGGTGGATGTGTGCCGATAGCTTCTGCGCTCACGCTGCCGTTGGAACTCCCGCCGGAGGTGCGAGGGGGTTGGAGGAGGCAGCACGAGTGTGATCTTTTTGCCTGTTGCCGAGGGCACATGAAGGAAAAGCTCATGCACCTCTGTTGAGACAGCACAGACGCGATGCTGTGACTTCCTTCCTCCAGCCTGCCTGCAGCCAGGTTTTATACAAACGCTTGATTTTGCCGGCACCTGGATCTTGCTCTCTGAAACTGCTGTTGCCTGGGAAGGCTCTTCCCTTTCCTAATTTCAAACGTACCTAAGGTGATGGCATTCCACATGGCTCTTTTAAATACATCCCGGATATACATGCTGACTAACATTTGTTGTTGTCATCTAAAATGAAGGCTTTTTGTTTCCTGGGAAAGAACAACCTTGCTGGTGTTTTAAAAACAAAAAGCCCTGCAAAATCCTGCCTGTTGGGGTTGAGATGATGACCAACTCCAGCACAACTGGAGAATATGGTGATGCTTTTCAGCAGTAGCATTTTTAAGTTAGGTGCTGTTGAAACCATTGCCTGAAGTGACGTATGACCAGATCCAAATATGAATTAAAAGGATGTAGAGGTGTGAAGAGGGACAGCTGAACCCTGCTGGGAAATGCAACCTCTTTGTTCTGCAGCCACCTAATTCTGGAAATGCTTACCACCTTCTGGCAGCATGGATCTTGACCTGAAACTTCCCGAAGTCCTCGGAGTTCTGTTTGTAGACAAATGTAGGTACGTCCTGTTTGCAACAGGTTTGAGCGGTTCAGCATCAGCCTTGCCCCTTGTCTCATGAGGTGGTGGAAGGTGGTGGAAGGTAGGTCATGCGTGCCTCGAGTCCCTGAGGGACTTGGTCACACCATGCCGAAAACTCCCTGTCAGTCTGCCTCTGAGGCACACAAAAAGTGTGTTTCTTGCTACACGCAGTCTCTCCTGTGTTCTCTGCCTCTGTGGCTATTTTCTGTATTTTCCCGAAAACAACCCTGTGAGCAGGGACTGAATCACCCACCCACGTGCCCACCAGTGGTGTGAATCGTGGTCTTGGGTATTGAGTGCTTGTCTGTCTCTCAGCATGTCCCCAGCCAAAGGTGGGTGTCGCAAGGTGAGCGCTCTTACTCTCTGACCATAACTTGCCACATTTTATCCGTATATAGTCCTCCTCACTGTTCCTGGGAAGGAGCCGCAGTGGCTCGTAGCTCTGTGTTGGTCTGTGTATTGCTGGTGATGGGCCTGTACGTTGCTGTGAGGGAATCCTTCTGCTCAAGCTCTACCTCTATTCCTTGCTCCTCTCTGTATAAAGCTTATTGCACCTGAATGCTAAAAGCAACAAGACTCTAATTAAAAAGATTACAGTAAGATACCTTCCTGGAAACATGACAAGGGATCTTTTGGTAGGGAGCTGGTATGGGTTCCTCATGAGCTGGAGTTCAAACTTTATCATGTGTGACTAACTCTCACAAGGTGATGCTGCCATCAGCAGCAGCTCTGATGGTCAAGGTAGGAGGCAGACCTTAAATCAACTGTGCTACGACAGCTGCTGTGGTGTATGTTGATCTGCAAGGCCAGAAATTACCAGGACTGGGTTTTCAGGCAGGGGAGTCAGAGGCAGGGCCCATAGATTTTGTTAATCTCTTCAGCTACTGGCCTGTTCCAGTTGATTTGCCCCTTTCTTCTTGCACAAGCACATGTGCATCACTTCTTTGTGGTTTAACAGAAAAACCTGTG